TGCTTCCATTTGGGGTTCAATTTTATGTGCAGCCCCAACTAGAAGGCTGACCAACAAGCCCACACGGGCAAGACTAAGGGTTCACAAACCTAAGCGCCGCATCCCTCGTTAGAGCAGCCTCAACCACTCGGTCAAACTAACGGCAAGGTCCCGATTTTTCCGGTGACAGATTATCGTGGGGCAACAACAACAACCAACAATCAATTTTAATGCCATTAGAATTCTAAAATCACACGGAAATAGCTTTGTTTACACTATAAATTAATGTAAATCTAAGCTAAGAAGAAGGAGGAGAAATCATGGAGAAATACGAAGTGATACAAGTTGAAATCCGAGAAAAGCTTTATAGCATTCGAACGAAGAACAAAATAATTTTCAAGAGATTATCTTCAGCGTTTGACCGGGAATCCGAGGGGACATCGTCTTCAAAACGAGATTCGGGCTTGAAAACTTCATTTCCACGTTGGCGATCGGAGATTTTGAGTTCACCACGAGCTCAGTGTTGTCGACAGAGGAAGTGGAGGAAGTCGGTGACGGTTCGAGCGAAGTAGTAGCCACGGTCGGAGACAAATAACCAGCCTTTTGCAACCTCGGCTTGTAAGGGCTACCGGGTTGAGGTGTTCTCGGGCTTATCGGCAAGTTCAGCCTCAGCAAGTTCAACACTTCACTATAAACTTTCTTTGTTTCCTCGCTTCCAGCGATTGTAGACTTGTTGCAACTCATTTATGTAATCCACCTCTCCCCCAATAATCGATGCTTAATTCCCCTTAAAACAAAAGGGTCTTATTCCTAGGGCAATTAGAAATTGACTGGACAACACTATCTCCAATTCTCCATTGCATGTGAACCTCGGGTCCCAACAGTACTCTCTTTTCAAATCAATTCTCTAATAACATTTTAGGATAAACTACAAGTTTAGTATTCTAACTCTCACTTTTATTTTATTTTGACCATCTAATTATTTGTTTTCTCAAAATCACACCTAACATTACGTTTCAGCTTCATTTTAGTCACTCTTTCATATTTGGTTTAATTATCATGTGTTCATTTACATTTCTGTTCAGCTCATTTTAGTCCTAAGTTTTATTTAAGGGTTATTTACATTTAGGATGTCTGAATTATTTAACATTTATGATTTGGGCTTTAGTTTATGCTATAATTAATGTTTGATCCTTCTGTTTTCTCTAAATACCATTTTAGTCCTTAATTTTTTTTTGACAATTGAGTCCTTTACCCTTTTTTTTGCTATTTTGATCATTTACATTTTTATTTATTTATTCATTTATTTTTTATATTTTTTTAATTTTATTATTTTTTATTTCTTTTAAATTTGTTTATATATATATATATATTTTGTTTTTACACTCTTTTATTTTTTTAAGGACTAGATATTTTTCTTCATTTTTATTACTTATTTTCCTTAACATTTTTTATTATTTTCTCACTTCAAGTTATTTAATATTTATTTATTATTTGTTATCTAACATTTTTACTCATTTTTAGAGAAATTTCAACCAATCAGGGGTAAGTAATTCGAATCGAATGTTTTAAATTTCAATTTAAATTATAATTTTTGCAATTAAAAGACAACTGATAAATTAATTGGTACCGAAAGGGCGGTTCAAGGGTGCTAATCCTTCATTGACCGTAACCGACTCCCGAATCCGACACGTTTCTGGTAAAACGCAGATCAGGTAAGATGGTGTCCAATCAACCTAAAGTTTGTTTTTAAATGGTCGGTGGTGACTCTAACCCAATTTAATCAACGTCGAAGCCCAATTCCCGGGTCCAACCGAAAGACGGTTCCGACAGCTTACATGTGACGTTTGGAGTTCCCCTCATAATACCGGAAATTCTTTTTTAGCCGTTACGTCACATTGGTTAGATCAAGATAATTGGCAAATGATGAAAAGAACAATCGCGTTTGAATTATTCGGTGAGCCGCATACCGGTGCTAATTTATTTACACTTTTAAAAAGGGTAATTTGTCTTTATAAATTAGAAAATAAAGTTTTTTCTATATCCTTTGATAATGCATCGAATAATACAAATGCGGTTCCAAGATTGAAAATATTACTTTCACCAATTTTAGACGGTGCGTTTTTTCATACCCGTTGCGTTGCACACATAATTAATTTATCCGTGCAAGCCGGTTTGGAGGTTATTGAGTCGATTAGATTAGAATTTAAAACAATGATAAAATCGGTTCTTTGTAACAACAACAAAAGACTAAATGATTATAAACGATTTTGTAAGTCCGTTAATAAAAAAGCTTTAGGTCATAATTTGGATTGTCCAACTCGTTGGAACTCAACTTGGATGATGATGCATACTGCCTTAAGGCAAAGGGAAACATTGCAAACATTTCACGATTGGCTTTTCGAGAGGGGTCATGTCCCAAACATTTATCCGGATTCGAGTTGGGAAACTATAGCCAAAATAACCGATTTGCTTGGGGTTTTTAAAAATGCAACAACTTTTTTATCCGGTGTTTATTACCCTACTAGCCCGTTGGTTCTTAATCAAATATTTTTGTTGGCTACCCGACTAAATGACTTTGAATTTGAAACCGAAGTTTTTCAAGAAATTGGCTTTGCAATGAAGGAAAAACTTTTAAAATATTTTAAGGAGATTCCCCCCATTTTTACTTGTGCCGCCGCTTTAAACCCAACGTTAAGTGTTGGCGGGGTTGAAACACTAATTGAACAAATTGCGTTTGCTTTTAATCTAACCGATGATGAACCCAACTTTGTCCAAAACCAAATAAATTATTTTAACAAATGTTTTCGAGACATGTTTGCAATTTATTTAACTAAATACGGATCAAGTAGTGTAATACACGATCAAATGAGAATGAATGTGGAATCATCTAGTAGACGTCCAAGTAACATAAATTTGAATCCTTTTAACACTCTTGTAAATTCCCAATCCAAACGATCACGTACTACCACCCCAAGTAGCGAGTTGGAAAATTACATGTCATGCGATTTTCTATCAAAAATGACATTTGAAGAGTTTGAAAGTTTGGATATTTTGGCTTGGTGGAAAGAAAAGGAAGCACAATTTCTGATTCTAGCCGCCATGGCCCGTGATTTACTAACCGTCCAAGCTTCTACGGTAGCTTCGGAATCCGCTTTTTCTGTTAGTGGCAGGGTTATATCGCAACGGAGATCAAGACTAAGTCTCAAGTCGGTGGAAGTATGCATTTGTTTAAAGGATTATTTGGATGGAGCGGCTCGTAAGCAACATATCACCACCCTAGAAGATGCAATTGATGCCGATTTGGAAGCAAACTTACACATTGAAGAAGTCGAACTTGGAATATCCCCTCCAAACGAAGAAGGTGAAGATGATGAAGAAGATATGACAATGTAGTTTATTTTTAAACTTTATTTCAATTATCGTAAACTTTGTTTCAATTATCGAACTTGAAGTTTTTAAGTATTTGAATTTATCGAACTTGGAAGTTTTTAAGTATTTGAATTTATCAAACTTGGAAGTATTTAAGTATTTCAATTATGTTGAGTTAATCGATCGACGGAATCGGCCAAGAGGGGGGTGAATTAGCAATTAAAATTTCGGTGGAAGCTTTTGCAGAAAATTGAAAAGATTTGCACAGCGATTTAGAGTGGTTCGACTTTCTCAATCAAAGTCTACGTCCACTACCTTAGCTATCCACACTAAGGATTTTTCACAAATTCACTAATTTGTCTTTCTTTTGAGGACAAAGAGTAACCTTACAAACCCTCAAGAATTATACCCCAAATTCTTGAGAAAACTCTCTACCAAAGAGAACAATACAAATTTGCAAACTTACAAGGAAATCCTCACAAGGTAGATTGTTTGCACAATTCTAGAACAAAGAAAAGAACACTCAAAGATGAATACAATTGAGCACAATATGTGTTCTTGAAAGCAAAATGAATATTGATTGAAAATAGGCTTGAAATGCTCAAACTTGAGGTTTGATGCTTTCTCTTTGATTCTCTCTTGATTCTAGTTGCTTGATGTTTGTTGTCTTTGATCAATGGCTTCTAAGCTTGCTTAAATACACCTTGAATCACTTCTAAACGTTAGGGATAATTAATGAAGATAATATAGCCGTTTAAGTGTGAAAACATTTAATAAAAAATGCTTGGAGCGTGGGGGGAATCGGTACCCTCTCATAGGGAATCGGTTCCCTAAGTGTAAAATTCAAATATTTCGACCGTTGAATAGGGGGGAATCGGTACCCCTATGGGGGAATCGGTTCCCTCCGAGCATTCTGGAAATCTCGGAGCCAAACCATTTAGGGGGGAATCGGTTCCCTCTGAGCAATCTGGAATTTTTGACTTTGAAATGGTTCGAAATACTTTGAAAGATTATTTTGAAATTGTTTTAAGATTAAAACTTAATTTTACACTTAAGTAAGGATTAAAAATGATTTTTGAAATATTTGGAGTAATGTTTTGATATTCGAATAATTATATCGAATATACTTAGAAAATCATTTGGAAAATCTTAAAATTCATTTAACTTAATTTGTTATATCGAAATATCAAAATGTTTTCAACAAATTATCGTAAACTTTATTGCAATTGACATTACAAGTAACATATCTTAAGATTGATTCATATTTAGACAGATATAACAGTAGTATTTGTCTGTCGTTTCAATAATCAAATTAGAAACCCCACAACTCTTATGCTGTCTGTTTATACCATGGATGCCTACCATCGACTCTTTATCAGAAATAAATGTTGGCCTCGGTAAGAAATGACAATCTTTGACGATGTCCAGTGGGGTTTGTTTCTAACAATGGGAAACTTAAGTAGGAAATGGCTCCCTGCTGCCTTTGCATAACATCATATTAAGGACAAAATTACAGAAAAATAGAATACTGATGATGCAGTCATCAAAGACTTGATGCATGGTTTTCAAGCGATAATCCCACACCGTATGTTTAAACACATCGTCGAAAAAACATGAACAATGAATAAATCTAGCATTTCCGGCGATTCACAAACCTGATAATAGTCACATTAATGGAAGAAACAGTATAAAGTTCAAGAGGAAATTATCAACAGAATGGTAGTTTCCAAGGTAAGGGATGAGAAACTAGTAATAAATATTCTCTTCTTTCATAAAACATCAAACAACCACAAATCTCACTTGGTAAGTTTAAATAAAAAAGGGAACCTCATAATGATCGAATTGAAGTGGAATCACAAAAAACACCATATGTTTCTACTGTATAAACCACCCCGGAATCATGCTTTCCTTTCATGTTAATGGTCTTCAAAAAACCCATTTCGATCATCGGAATCGACCCACCGGCCGCCACGATTTGTTGCTCTAGCTGCAGTAGAACCGTAAAAGGGGAAACAAATATAAGAAAACCTGGTTTCATAACCGAAGTACTCATAAAACTAATTGATGTCCAGTAGGTAAAAACACGTATACTAACCCTGAGCAAAGTTTCAAGCTTGTTCTTCACAAGGTAATACTCATGTTTCACTTGTTGAAGGCATCTCAGGGTCCTGAAAAACATTCAAGAACATCGTATCGCTATCTCGAATCCAAATATATCGTTGATAAGAAAGATTTAGACAGAGCGAAATCAACTCACGCTTCGATGTTCTGCTCCTCGCAGAAGTTGCGAAAAGTAACGCAGGCATCTTTCACTCTCTGTGCACCAATGCTGTTGACACACACACAAAGATGAACCACTGATTCTTTAATCAAACAAGGAAAAAATATTAACTTTCTAAAATTTTGATTCAATTTTCATGCTGTTTAACCTATCAATCACTTGAAAAGGTTGGATCTAACAAGGTCAGTAAGGTTTTGCAGTGAAAGTATAGTATTGAGAAGAAAATTGAAACATAAAATTGAAGATTGTTAAGGATTTTGTACCTGGAACTACTGCCCTTCAATTGATGAACATGAGCATCAACTTTTTTGAAATCTACACTTGGCTGATCTCTGTATAAGGAAAAAAACACAATTTACTCCAGGCTGTCATCCATGGCAGAAAGAGAAAGTGAGTCAAGAGTGAGTTCTTACAAAGCCATGGAGAGATCATTGAGAAGTTTCTCAGAATCATCAAAGAAAAGAGAGACAACTTCAAAAACAAAATCAGGGTTGCTCTCATCTTGAAGCTGTTGAAGCTGTAAAAACTGAGCATCCAAGAAACACTAAACACTACAAAAAATAAGCAAACAAACAAACCAAGAACAACAAAACAGAGACAAAAAATGGGCTTTTTTGTTAATAAATTTGTACATTTAAAAGCTTTAATTTTTACCTCCATAAACAAGGTTTTTGTGTAGTCCACCAATCCTCTTTGCATCTGAACCACCTCCATTGTCTTTTTCCCCTTGTTTTCTTCCTCTCTAAAGAAGTTTTTCCAGAAAAAAAGAGCTTAATGACCCAACATAGAAAAAGGGGTTTGTGGCTTAAAATTTTGATATTTGGGGTTGAAATGAACCAAAAGTTGAGCTCAAAGAAAAGGGTATAAATGCTTTTGACAAAAGGATTCGATGTGGTAAGATAACAAAATTCCAAAATATTATTCCCTTTGCTAACTTTAGCTATTCGTCTACTTGTAGTATATAGTGTGTGGGTCCTCTTTTTCTCTGGATTTGTGATTTGATGCTACTGTTACTCTTTCATTTGTTCTGTGTCCCCTTCTCTTTAGGGGAAAATGAAAAATATCATTTCAGTTTTCCGTATTAAATTCACCATTGTAGGCTTTTCACCAAGATTTTTCATATTATAATTTTAAATTTAATCATTTTATTATTTAATAGAATATATTTTCTAAACTAATAAAATGATTTCAATAATACGAGAGAATCTTAATTTATCTAGAGGTCCTAGTTTCTAGTAACCAAATATGTCTTATCAATTGATTAAATTTATTTTAATGATTATCATTAGCACTAAGAATGAATCTAAGCATCCTTAAAATTTAAAAATTTTATATATTTTAATTTTTTTTATTAAAAATCTATTTTTTCTCCTTAAAATTTTAAAAAATTGTCTCTTCTTAAAATTTGATAAGTTTACCTCCCTAATATATACTCATGTGTCTGTCCCTAAATTCAACATGTGGAATGATTTTATATTATCATTTCATATAAAAATAATACTACTTATAAAAATACCAAAATTGTGAATAGGATTAAAGTTCATAAAAACTTGAAAAATAAATTGTGTATTTAATCAATCAATTATGTACGTGATTTTATTTTAGTTATGTAGTTATTTTTAAAAATTTATATTTAATATTAAAATTTATTTTTATTTTTATTATTCATCATTTAAAAATTAATAATAATATTAAGTTGTCATCATAATATAATATCACATTATACTTAACATAATATTAAGTCAACACTTTTATTAATTGTTTAATGATAGGTGGGTGATAAAATCGAAATCAAAATATAATATTGTTAGAAAATAATAGAATCATTAAAATAAAACCGTATAAATAATCAAATGACTATATACATAATTTACCTTATAACCTATTGAAGCTTGACAGCAAAGTATTTATAGTCTTTTATTTTTGAATTAATTTAATGATGTGGTCAAGGAAGATGAATTGAGACCAAGTAGTCCATGCCACGTGGCAGGGTCATTGGTACCAGGCACAGTGCAAAGCGCAAGTTGGCAAAAACATTTGATATGAAGCGTTGATCTCTCCACGTTATGACACTAATTACAGTATTGATCTTTCTTTAATATATTAATTTTTGAAGATATCCATACAATCTTGCTAGGATACAACAAGATTTTGTTCAGCTAATCTTAATTCTAAATTAGTTGTCTTTTATTTATTTTTTACACAGTATACATAAATAATTATTAAATTAGGTTGAATTAACTTTTATCATTAAATTTTATATTATTATTGTAACACTCTAATCCAGTGCGACCTGAAGATCCATGAATTACGATGATATACGAAACCATCGAAATAGTCAACTCAAAAATTTCTTTGAAAACAATTGTTAACATCATAATAAATCACACTTGCAATTGAAATCAAATCAAACGTTTACAAAATATAACCATAGAGTTTAAAAATCCAAAATATAGTTATGACATGATTATGCAAGGTCTATATTGAATACATGCCCTCTAAAATAAATTCAAATCATACTCTCCTAATCTTCTAGTCTGGAATGTAAGAATGCGAAAGCCTTCTAAGCGATCCCCTATACTAACCTGTGCATGAAAACACATTCCATACGCTGAGCTCACAAGCTATGTGCCACAAAAATAACTAAACGATACTAAATGCATTCGCCACATGAACATGTTGGTAACATGCATAAGTACATATCAAACATGAGATAGGTCAAGTAATGTGGTTAGAGGAATTACGTGCATCTCGGACAACACACCAACCTATCTAGAACGTGATAGCTTCGGGGCAAGAACCAGAATTTACGCGCACCGAAACTTAAAGAATGCAAGAGTAATGCTAGAGTAACTCGGGTGTCCTGGCCATTTCCCGAGTATCAAACAAAGCTAGTTTTATGTCACTTTATTTCATAACGTTATTAGTCGAGCTGTTTATTATCGATGATATCCATATTAAGGGTTTAAGTATTTAAGCAAATCAATTAATGAACCAAATTGAACTCATTCAAACATGTTAAGGTCAAGACCACATTTTCAATATTTCAGACCCCTAAAGAATGCAATTTCACCCTTTTCCACCGAGCAAAACAGCGAATAGATCAATCATTTCTTTCTAGGGATCGATCTTTTTCCCTGAGGGATTGATTCTTTTGAAAATGGATCGATCCTATGCACAATAGAAAGTTTGGGATTGATCATTTTTCCTAACGGGTCGATATTTTTGAAAAGGGTTTGATCATTTGTTGGACATAAACTTTGGGATCGATCCCTTTGGTCGAGGGATCGATCCTTTTTATGGGAATGACTTACTTAAGCTCGGGAAACACCCACAAATCGACCCAAAAATTCCCCTAAGACTAGCAAACATGCTTAATGTCTTATTTAGTGTGTTAGAGGTCAAAAGGTACTAATTTTCATGCTTGCAACACACAAATACGAATCTTGCCATGAAAATTACTCTAGCATGCTTTATGAACTAAACAAACCATAATGCACATACGATGAACTGCATGTGGTATGGACAAGTCAGAATCGTGTTACCTTGAGCTTAGGTGACTGAAAACACCCTTGAATCACCCAAGGGTAAACTTTTCCTTGCCTCTAGCCTTGGAGGTCTCCCCTTGCTCTTGCACTAATTAAAACGATTTTTAATGAGTTGAAGCTCATTTTAAATCTTAGAAGGAAGTCTAAAACATTTTCTTTCAAGTTAAAACCAATAAAACTTGCTATAACTCATGGTTCCTTAAACCCTACTAAAATCCATTTATGGGAAATTTGGCTAAAACTTGCAAAAGTGGGTTTAAATGACATCTTTAAGGATGGGATGACGAATCTTACCTTGAAATTTCAATAGAATGCTGGAATAACTTAAAGCTCCAAACTTTTACTTAGCTCTTGAATGAAGAGGAACAAAAAATGAAGAGGAACAAAAAGTGAAGAGGAATAAGAAACAAGGTTGATATGAAAATGAGGAGGAGAATTCAGAACGTGAGATCATCCCATTTAATGGGATTCATTTTGACTCAAAAAAATGGGTAAATTACCCTCCTGGTCTTCCGACATTTGAGTTAAGGTTAAAAGCATCCAAAATCAAGCTTGTTGGGCTCATCCCAAGCTCAAATCAAAAACCACTTGGGTCAAAAGCTTCATGGGTCAAAAACTTCATGGGTTAGGGGAAATTATTCTAAGACCCGAACTAATAAACTCTAAATTCCTAACTTGTAATTCGTGGTGTTACAATTATAAAATGATCTATATATTATAAATTATTGATGAATTTTATAAATTTATAGATTATTTTATAATATCTTGATAAGTTTAATGATTATTTTATAATAATTACTTAAAAAAGTAATAATTATTTTATAAATTTATAGATTACTTTATAATTGTTCAAAAAATTTTATTATAATTTTCTGAATTAATTTTCTTTTATTCAAATTTTAGATAAAATATATAAATAATCATTAAATTATATTAAATTAATTTTTTGACCACTAGTAAAATTTTACAAATTATAAAATAACTATTAATTTATTAATTTAATAATTATTTTATTAATAATTTTATAAGTATGTAAAATTTTAATAATTATTTTATAGTTTCTAAATTTCAATAAAAATGTTTCAACTTAATTTAATAAAAATATATTTAAAAAAATATTTTTCTTATTAATAAATTAGGGACTGCTAGAGTGAGTGGTGATCGATTAATCAAGTCGAGTAGAGTAAAAACTTTTATGTTATTCGAGTTGACGAGTCATATTTTACAATTCGTAGTTGACTTGAATTTTTTTTGAATTGAATCGAGTAAAGTCAAATTTTTGAGTTTGTGTTTAAATTTAATTATAAATATTTATAATATTATGATATTATTTTATTTCCATTTAAATAAATTTTTTCATATGTGATATACATATATCATACATAATTAAGGGACTCAAATCAAACTTAAAAGCTCATCCATTAATTACTAAAAATTTAGAGTTATTTGAGTTGTATTTTACAACTCGATTTGAATTTGAAATTTTTTAAAGTTAAGCTTATAAAATTACAACTTGAAATTATTTCGAGTTAATTTTTTTTTAAATCGAGTCGAATCGTAAAAATAATTTTTTGAGTCCAGTTTTACCAGTCCCGACTAGAGGCAAGATATGTTTTTCCCTTTGTCGTATGTGATCTTTTTAAATTTATTTTCAATGGACAACCAATAACGTTGGGAGAGAATCCTTATCGTTTCTTAATATTTTATTGATTTATTCCTTTTCTGTTTTATATATTATATCATTGAAGATTACATTCAATTTTGTTATGATGGATACTACATTGCACTTTGGCCTTTTAATATCACCAAAACTTGTCCTCCATATTGTCTTTCCAACATAATTGATTTAATGATTTAAAATGTTAAGAAATCATATATTATCTATGGTTTTCAGAACCGGACCGGTTAGTGAATCGGTTATGCTATCGGTTCACTAGTTCAACCGGTCGAATCAGTCCGACCGGTAGAAAGAACCGAACGACGTCATAATTATTTAAAAAATTAAATAAAAATATCAAAAATATTTAATAAAAAATAATTTTTTATATCACAATTCATATTCAAAGCAAGTCATAACATATATAAGTTAAAAACCATAAAATCAAGTGAAACAAAATGATTCAAATTAACTACAACATAATATTTAAGGTAAAACATATTAAATAATAAATATAGTTATATAACTATAATTAAAAAATAAATTTGGGGCTAAAATATCATAACAAAATGATATTGTTTGATTTAATTTTTTTTAAACAATCTCACATGGTTAAGAAACATAGAAGATCATCCCAACTAACTTCTATAATAATAGAGGCAATTTAACATTCAAAATCATGGAGCCTTTTGGTAAGCATTTAGTGAACTATTCTTTCACTTCAATCAAGCTCGAATTTTAGGCTTCAATCGATCTTCTAAATTTTTTTTGAGTTCAAACCTTTTCGAGTTCAAGTTTCAATATTATATTTCGAGTTCGAGTTAAACTTCATAATTTTTAGCTCGTGAGTTTGAATCGAGTTAAGCTTACTTTTAAATTTTTCAAGTTCGAGTCGAACTCAACAATACTAGAGTTCGACTTAGCTCGTTTAACAAACGACGTCGTTTGATTTAATTTAAAAAAAAAAAAAATTGGCGGTTTTTCCCGGTTTTTTCCGGTTTTCAGCAGGTCCGGTTTGAACGGTTCAGCGATTCTGGCCGGTTCACTAGTAACGGTTCAACCGGTCTAGATTGAAGCGGACTAGACAACGGTTTCCGTTTGAACCGGTTGAACCAGCCGATCCGGTCCGATTTTCAAAACAATGATATTATCTTATATATGTAAGTAATCCAAAACTACCTCAAATATCATTCACTTGTAAGCTTAATCTCATTTATACCACTAACATTTTAAATTTATCAATTTTAGCACTAACATTTACTTGTAAGTGTAATTATGTCACTCCACCGTTAATGATCTAACGGAATGATGATATGATAGCCGTGCGCCATGATGTTGCCGACGTGACAATCTCACCAAAACGACGTCGTTTTGGCATGATTGTATTTGAGACTAAAAATCCCAAAACAACTTAGTTTTGTTTTAAGAAAATTTAGTATGCACTTAAAGGGTTTTGAACTCAAGACCTTTAGCTACAAAAATTAAAGCTTAACCACTGTAAAAACTTAAATTTTTAGAGTAATTTTACAAACATAATATACATGATATTAGTCACGTATTTCAAATACTGTTTTTCTAAAAAAACTAATAAAATTATTAAAATTCCCCAAAAGAATACCTTAAATTTCAGAAAATCTCAAAAAACTTCTAAATTCCTAAAAGTTAAAAAAACCATATGTTACTGAAAACAAATATTATTATTATTATTATTTTCGAATGTTAAAAAATATTTTAGGGCTTTTTTAACATTTGAAAATTTTAAAATATTTTTAACAATTAAAACATTTGAAAAAAACTTGAATTTACAAAATGGTCAATCGACTCATGTTATGTATATCATTATTAAAAATTGTTTTTAAAAATTAGTTTTAACATTTGAAAAAATATTTTTAAACATTTGAAAATAATAATAATAGTTTTTATTCAGTGATATAGGATTTTTTTTAACTTTTAGGAGTTTTTTTTTAGATTTTTTGAAATTTAAAGCATTTTTAGAAAATTTTAATAATTCTATAGCTTATTTAAAAAAATTATATTTGAAATACGTGACTCATATTATGTATATTATATTTGCAAAATTATACCAAAAATTTAAGTTGATATAGTGGTAAGCCTTGGCCTTTGTACCTAAAGTACTTGAGTTCAAATCCCTCAAGTGCATAGTTTTACTAAATTGTCTCAAAACAAAACTACGATAAAATATTAGTGGTATAAATAATTCGAACAAAAATATGAGTGGTATTTAAAGTAGTTTACCCAATTTATAAATCTATTTTTAAAATTGAATAATAATTTTTTATTTTATATTCTTGTAACATGTTTTTTTCTCTTTGATTTTTTTAGAAATTTATTCATAATAATATTGACAGAAATTTAACAGAATTTACGATCAATTTAAAAGGTAGAAAAAAATAACAGAATTAGAACTATGATTTGAATTCATAAAAAATTCTTACATAAACTATTTTTAGTCTTTTTATTTACATTATGATGTAGATGCAAGTAGAATTAGGAATGTTCATTATAGCATCTCAAAATTTTAAGTTAACAGAAATAGATAATCTGAAATCGTTATAACATGATCGCAATATTCATAATGACCACAGTATTATTTATATTATGATATAGATGCATGTAGAATTAGGGAGGTTAGGTTTATATTTTTGGGAGATAAATAAAATAACTTTTATCGGTATTCCTTCAATTGAAAAAATTATATTTATGGTAAATAAAAATATTTTTACATTTTAATAAATTTTTAGTTCGGCCCCTACTGAAAGGGCCACAACCATCAGATCGGCTCACGAGACAAGGCCAACTGGAATAGAGGTCTGCTATTGCAATAACGGTCATTATATAAAAGTATCGATGTTATATGACCACAATATTCACAAGAACCACAATAATACCGGTTATATCTACAATCATGATAAATATAATAAAACTGGAAATGCGATCACAACCACAATTAAAATTACCGAATTCAATAACCAAATGACTTAGCTTATTAAATCCAAAACCAGATGACTTAGCTTATTAAATCCAAAACCAGATGGACACAGTTAACCGGTTGTAACTCAGCCCTAATAATTAGTTATGTAAAAAATACAACAGAAGTACTTGTGTCTGAAATACAAAAACATGTGTTTATATTATACTTCCACATGAACTTTTTTTCCATGTTTCAAACTGTTCTAATCCCTCAAACATTATCAATCAACTATTTTGATCATTCAAGCACTTGGTTAAGTTATATTCTTCCACATCGAAGATCTCTTCGGAGTAAGTCCTCCGATGAGCGGACTGCTCTTTCAGAATCTCAAGGCAGCTAACATCACCTTTAAGAATGGATAAAACCTGCATTTGAATCATTCAGGGATTACAACATCGTTCTTTAGGTTTTACTTGGACTGCAAGTAAACTTGTGATGAAAAAAGGAAGGACTTGCCTGGCTCATTTGTGGTCGATCTATCGCAGACTGATCTATATAGATCGAAGCTGTTGCTACACAACGTTTTAACTCGTTCAGCTCATAGTCATCCTCGAGGGTTGGATCGATGAGCTCCTTGATTTTATTTTCTGCAATCAATGGTTTTGCCTGCAACGTGAATAATCGGATGACTCAATAAGTGCATATCGGATACAAGTATAAATTCACTTTTCGGTAAACCAAACCCACCCAGATAACAAGGCTTCGGTGTGAACTGTCGACGGCTTGCTTCCCTGTGATGAGCTCCAACAGCAGTACGCCAAAAGCATAGACATCCGTTTTTTCATCGACTATGTCGTGCATGAACAACTCGGGAGATAGGTAACTGTGACGACATGAATTCGTATTAGCATTCGCATACGATAAAAGAAGTTTAAGATGTACAGAAACCGAGTGAAGTTTTAAACTATGAACCCAAATTTGCCTTCGACTTTAGAGACGGTATGATGAGTCCATTGATCAGGTAACCACTTTGAAAGGCCAAAATCTGAAATCTGGAATTAAGTTGGAAATACAACCATAAGCAAAGGAACATCTCAAGTAAGACATTTTTATTTGCAGCTCTACAGAAATCTGAGTTCGAGTTTTACCTGAGCATCTAAATGCTCTGAAAGCAATATGTTTGCGGGCTTGATATCTTTATGGATAATTCTTCGCTGGCAACCTTCATGAAGATAGCCAAGGCCTTCGGCAGTCCCTACGGCAATCTTGAATTGGAGGCTCCAGTTCAGTTTCTCCCTAGGACCTGTATATGAACGACAACAAGTTTAACTACCAAGTTTTCCTTTATATGAACTTGTGAAGAAACCGAACTTAAGAGGCTTTGCGGAAAACCAACCGTAAAGTATCGAGGCCAGGCTTCCATGGGGGGACAATTGAAGAACAAGGTGCATTCCCCCCTCAACACCGTAGCCGATCATTTTAGCAATATTGGGATGATCAACATGAACTATAATTCCAAGCTCAGACAAGAAATCAATAGTCGTCTCGTCTGGCGAGCCATTCATTAGCCGCTTAACCGCAATATACATTCCAGTTTTTAGTTGCCCTTTGTAAACTTCTGCATACCCTCCTTTCCCTATCAAATTTTCTTCTCAAAAACAATGGCAATATCTGGCCAATAAGAGGATGTCATGGGAACATTATTCTTTTTCCTAGTGGAAATTTGACATTATAACCAAATCAAAATTACAAAAACAATGATCATGTAGGAGGAAATATACCATCACTGAAGTTATCGATTGCTTCCTCAAGCTCCGAGAGCGAAAAGTTCTTCCGAGAAGACTTGAAACAGCTTAGTTCCGAATTCAGAGTCGACTCTAGTGGTGCAACCATGTCATCTCCGCCTTTTTTTGCCCTTTTTTACCATACCCTTGTTGAAAGTTGACAAATGTTGATGGCTTTCTAGATGGCCGGCTAAATTTCTTCAAATTGGACGACAATTTTTAATTCAAAGTGGGCAGCCAACATTTGTTGAAAATGGTAATGGTTAAATCATACATTTAGCCATTGTATTTTTAGGGTAATTACAAGATTAGTCCCTAAGCTTCAACTATAAATATCCTAGTCCATTTAGCTTCAAAATCATCCCAAATCATTTCTTTCTCCCATTACTAGAGAGCTTTCTTGTGAGTAGTGAGTGTTTTGTAAACACTTGTAAATTTTCTCTCTTAGTAAAAGATCTGCAGCAGTCCGAGACGTAAGCAAAATCGGCTGAACTCCATTATCAATTTCAGGTATTATTTTTCCGCTTTTATTTAGCATTCTCACTAATCTGGTTATAGGAAAATTACTCGTACTGAGTTTATTTCCCAACAACTGGTATCAGAGCTTTTGGTTGTGAATTTTGTTAATTTTTTTGCGAAGTTACTATTTATTACTATTCATATGAATATTTAATTTCGTGAATAGTAAAAAAATTGTCGGCGGTACGAATTTGTCGACGGAGGTGTTCCTATACACAGTGGTTCGCAAGAATTGTCAGAAACGATCCAAACGAAGCCATATTCGAGTGGAGTGATGGCTGTAGATGAAGGGAATGTGAAAATTGAAAAGTTCGATGGAGCGGACTTTGGCTTTTGGAATATGCAGATCGAATATTTTCTGTACCAGAAAAATCTATATCAACCCCTCTCAGGAAAGCAACCAGAGGGCATGAAAAATGAAGACTGAGCTCTTTTCGACAGACAAGCCCTCAGAGTTATTCGACTGACGTTATCCCGCAATGTTGCTTTCAATATAGTAAAGGAAAAGACCACGGCGGGTCTTATGGCGGCTCTCTGCAGTATTTATGAGAAGCCATCAGCCTTAAATAAAGTTCATTTGATGAGGCGATTATTCAAATTGCGGATGGCGGAAGGGGCATCGGTGGCTCAACGCCTAAATGAACTCAACACAATCACAACTCAGTTGAGTTCCGTGGAAATTGAATTCGATGATGAAGTTCAAGCTTTAATTCTCTTATCATCTCTACCAGACAGTTGAAATGCTATTGTTACAACAGTTAGCAGTTCGTCGGGAAACAACAAATTGAAATTTGATGATGTTCGGGATCTGGTATTGAGTGAAGAAATTCGACGGAGAGAATCTGGTGAAGCATCAAGCTCCTCAGCCTTGCACACGGAGTCTAGAGGGAGAACTTTAGAAAGAAATTCAAATCGTGGCATATCGAAATTCAGACGGGGAAAATCCAGAACGGGAAAGAAAGATTTTACCTGTTATAATTGTGGCAAGAAGGGTCACTTTAAAAGAGATTGTCGAGCATGAAGAAAGATACCGGCGCACAGGAATCTGCCAACATGACAGAGGAGACAGGTGATGCCATGATTCTAAGCGTCAACAGTCTGATTGAATCATGGATCTTGAATTCAGGGGCATCTTTCCACTCCACCCCATGCCGAGAAATCATGGAGAACTATGTCAGTGGAGATTTTGGGAAGGTTCATCTAGCTAATGATGAAACCTTGAAGATCGTCGGAAGAGGAGACATCCGACTAAAGTTGCCAAACCAGACCACCTGGACACTGAAAGGTGTAAGACATATTCCTAGTCTCAAAAGAAATTTGATCTCTGTAGGACAGTTTGATGGAGAAGGATATAGTACAACCTTTTCAGGCTGTGAATGGAAGATTACCAAAGGAGCACTCGTCATTGCTCGTGGTAAGAAGACTGGTACTCTCTATGTAACCTCAAATTTAGAGAATATCATTGCAGTAGCAGATACTGATGGAAAATCAAACCTATGGCACCAAAGGCTTGGCCATATGAGCAAGAAAGGGATTAAGACACTTTTGTCAAAAGGGAAGCTGCCGGATCTAAAGAGTGTAGATGTCGGGCTATGTGAGGATTGAATCTTTGGCAAACAAAGGAAAGTCAGTTTTGCAAAGATTGGCAAGACACCCAAGGTAGAAAAGTTAGAGTTGGTTCATACTGATGTATGGGGACCATCTCCAGTTCCATCTCTTGTAGGCTCACTATATTATGTCACATTCATCGATGATTCAACAAGGAAGGTGTGGGTTTATTTTCTGAAGAAGAAATCAGAAGTATTTGATATCTTAAGAAAATGGAAGGCCATGGTGGAAAATGAGACTGGTTTGAAAGTCAAGCGGTTGAGGTCTGACAATGGAGGAGAGTACAAAAATAGAAGATTCAAAGATTTATGCGCAAATAATGAGATAAAGATGGAGACAATAATTCCCATGACACCGCAGTAGAATGGCGTAGCAGAGCACATGAACATAACTCTGAATGAATGTGCCAGAAGCATGATGATACATGTCGGACTGCCCAAATTTCTATGGGCTGAAGCTATCAACACTGCAGCTTACCTGATCAACTATGGGCCCTCAGTTCCTTTGGATGGCGGAATACCAGAGGAAGCTTGGAGCAAGAAAGAAATAAACCTTTCATACTTAAGAGTGTTTGGTTGTATTTTTTATGTACACATAGACTCTGCTGAAAGAAGTAAACTTGATGCTAAGTCCAACAAATGTGCCTTTGTTGGTTATGGTGGTGATGAGTTCAGTTACCATTTTGGGACTACGAAAATCGGAATATCATCAGAAGCAGAGATGTCATTTTCAATGAAAATGTAATGTACAAAGACATGTCAACCATAGAATCAAGTAGCTCCAATACTGAAGCTGAAACAAAGGAATTTGCTGAGTTCGAGGAGATTTCTAGAAATGATGTTCAAATCAATCCTGAAGCAGTTCAAGAAGAACGACTCACACCAGAACTGAGACGCTCCTCCAGAATTCCTAAACCAAGCCAGCGTTATTCGCCTTCTTTGCACTACTTGTTGTTGACTGACAATGGTGAACCAGAGTGCTATGATGAAGCAATGCAGGTGGAGGATTCACTCAAGTGGGAGTCTTCCATGAAAGATGAGATGGACTCGCTTATGTCAAATCAGACATGAAAATTAACTAAATTACCACCAAGCAAGAAAGCACTGCACAACAAGTGGATTTACAGAATCAAAGAAGAGCACGATGGAGCAAACGCTACAAAGCGAGATTGGTTGTCAAAGGTTTTCAACAAAAAGAATGTATTAACTACAATAAAATTTTCTCTCCATTCGTGAAACTGTCTATAATCAGACTGGTGTTGAAAATTGTAGCTGCAGAAAATCTACATCTTGAGCAGTTAGATGTAAAGACAGCTTTCCTTCATGGTGATTTGGAGGAAGAAATTTATATGAGGCAGCTAGAAGGCTTCATAGAGGTAGACAAGAAAAACCTGGTATGCAGGTTGAAGAAGAGCTTGTATGGTTTAAAACAAGCTCCTAGACAGTGGTACAAGAAGTTCGATAACTTCATGAGTAGCAGTGGTTTTACCAGATCCCAAGCAGATCATTGTTGCTACATCAAGAGGTTCGACAACAACTTCATTATTTTATTGTTGTATGTTGATGACATGCTCGTTGCAGGCTCAGACATACAAGAGATTATAAACTTGAAGCAAAAATTGTCGAAGAAGTTTGTTATGAAAGATCTGGGCGCTGCAAAGAAGATTCTTGGGATGAGGATCAGAGAGACATAAAGTCGAGGACTTTGATGTTATCACAGGCTGAGTACATCAACAAAGTTCTCTCCAGGTTCAACATGCAATATGCTAAACCAGTAAGTACACCTTTAGGTGTTTATTTTAGACTCTCCAAAGAACAATCACCAAAGACGGAGGAAGAACGTACACACATGGTGAAGGTGTCGTATGCCTCAGCAATTGGAAGTCTGATGTATGCCATGGTTTGCACCAGACCAGATATTGCTCAAGCAGTGGGAGCTGTTAGTAGGTACATGAATAATCCGGGCAAAGTACACTGGGAAGCTGTCAAATGGATCCTCAGATATCTGCGGTGTAACATCCGCAATACCGGGTTAGTGACTAAATTGAAAAGTTTCAGAATTTGGTGATCAATTTAGGAAAAATTGAAAAGTTTAGGGATTTAAAGTGTAATATTTTGATAGTGGATTAAATGGTAATTATGGAAGAATTGAAAGGATATTATGGTCTTTTATGTAAAGATATTTATCTCTTATTTAAAGAGAGAAGCTTATAGGTGAGGAAGTATCTGGAAAGCTTCATTCTTCTTCTTTCTTCTTCCCGTTGGTTTACTTCATAAGGGTGAGTTTAATTTCAGCTTCTTAATTCTTGAATTTATAAATTAGTTTTGATTCTTTGGGTATTAAATAAGCTTAAGGAAAGCTTATATGGGATTTAAACAATAAGATAAAGGAATTAAGAAGGAATTTGTAATATGAGTTTTAAGATGAAATTTTGATATGGTATGTTTGTTGAAGTTTTATGGATGAATTTGACTTGTCATCAATCTAATTAAGAAGTATGAAGTGTTAGAATTGGAATTAGAACACATTGAAAATTTAGTGTGATTCTTGAATGCCATGTAAATGATGGAAATTTGGGTTTAAAGAAGTAATTATGGAATAGAAATGAGTTTAAATATGTGTATGGAAGTTAGGAATATTAAAGGAAGTAAAATATGAAGGTTTAAGCTGAAATGAAGTGAATTTCGAGCTCAAAAATATGATTTCTGGGCAAGGGGAATCGGTACCCATTCAAGGGGAACCGATACCCCTTCAAACGAACAAAAATTTCCAGAATGTCATGAGGGAATCGATACCCCCATAGTAGAACACCGATTCCCCCTAAAGGAAAATTATAAATATGGTTTAAGTTCGTTTAAGTTGCTAGTATCAAATTACAAGGTGTAGGTATCTAATAATTGTCTTAAAATGTATAATTATGTAGATTCAGAGCCTAAACGAGTTCCAGAATCATTGACAAGTAAGATCGATAAAAAGGGAAGATAAGAGATTGAAATGGACTAGT